ATTCCCGAATTTTCCCGATTTTGGCCATGTATACTCCCGAATTTCTAAGTTTTTATTCCCGAAAAATCGAAGCTCTAAATATAATAGACTTAAAAATTTTATAACAAAAATATTGCTCTCAAATTAAATACAATTCTTAATAGTTATATAAATAATCTATAAAACTATAATTAATATTTTCCTCATAAACAGAAGTGCATAATAATGTTTAAAAATATATTTAAATATACCTATATTGTTAAGTCTAACCTTATTCCTGCAACAAATTATAATTGCTATTTAATAATTTAATTATTTTAACTGAAAATATTTATAAGAAGAAAATATAAAATGAAAATATAGTTGTAATATAAACTCATTTAATAAATGAGTCATTTATTCAATTTTTATTTTATTAGAATTATATATAATTTAGAATATTCTATAACTTATAATTGTATTTAATGGATTAAATTATTTACTAATTTGTAATATACTAATTAAATTTACTAAATCTTTTGTAGGTAAAGTCATCATTAAATATATCTATTATATGGATACATATTTATCATTAGTAGAATTAAAGCAATCAAAACAAACTCATGTATTAATCAAATTTAAACTGAAAACTTATTTTTTTAACTTTATTTATTCCCAAATGAATAACAGACTCGTAAATAATGAAACCTGTCTTCAAATTTACAAACAATACTTTATTTTTAGCAAACATTACTAAAAACTCAAATCACATAAAACTCTATTAAATAAAAAAGACATTTTTATCTAGTTTTATGAAATTCTTGATTTATTCATTACATTAATTGAATCAAAATATCTTATATTTAATTACAGAATTGATTTCAAAAATATTCCACAGAAAAATCTATAATATTTTAAAATACATTTTTAAATCACATAATTGTTTGTTTTATAAAAATCCTTTCGTTATTCATCAGAAAATATTGACATTAAAAAGTCATTGCAAACAAAAACAATTATGTATTTTAATAGATAAAAGGTTTGGATTTATGTCACAGAATCGGTAAAAATAGAGATATTCTTCGTCACTGTCTTCACATCCCAATGGGTTTGTAAACATAAAATACTATTTATTATAAAAATTACTTAAATTTTATTAAAAGCTAAGATTTTTAATATAAAAATAAGAAACAGACAAATGGCGTGCAATAAGATTAAAACATTTGTAGTTTAAAGTTTAGCGCAAATCTTAGACCCAAATTCATAAGCAATTCTGTACTCAACCAAAACGTTTGCCCAAAAAAGTTTTCAAGTGTTTAACAATGATTTTTAAAGAATTGTTTGCTTTATATGTATTATTAGGGTATATATTATGCGATCAATCAATAGTGGAGCAGAAGTGCAATCCTTTTTGGTTTAATTTTCGGCAATTTATTACCAAAGGTATGAATTTTTTTATTTATTATTCTTGAAATTAACAAATTCTTGATCTAAAATTATTTTATGATTTCATTAAAACCAAACTATTATGTAAATTTACCACGATTGTTTGATTATTATGTAAACACACATTTACTAATTGAGATTGATGTAAAATCATTATGGTAATTTTTATAAATGTTAAGTAAAAATACTGTAAATCGCTTTATTTGTAGTAGTGTAAGTTCAAAATAGTGCATGGTCCTAAATAAATACAGTAGAACCCAGCTAACTTTGTAGCTCACTTGATTCTGTCATAACTCATTAACACTGTTTTCCCAATTATTGAGCGAATTGTATAACAGTTACTGTTAATAAGGAAACAAACGTGTCGTGCATTTACTTAATGAGTAGAGTTTTCACGACACAAATATTGTAAAACTATAATTTAATTCATAAATAACTAGTTTTATAAGTCATTTAACAAATCAATAATATAATATACCATAATATTATTGTATATTAAATGAATAGTAAAATTAAAACACAAAACAACTGACGAATCATCAGACGATTATCGGCTACTAATGGCTCTATATATTGATTGCAATCAACTGATGGATGATTTGCAACCACAACAGCATTGGTTTGATATGAATTCGTTGAATAAAATGCATCAATTCATAGACCAGTCGGAGGAACAAGTGGTCAGACGTAAAAAGACCCGAAAAAATCGTTTCAGCGGTGTTTTGACCAAATGATACACTCTTTGTGCTAAAAATGTTGTAAATTTCATTTGTGTCTAACTTTTCAAAACGTTTTATACATTTGAGTTGTAAATTAGATTTCATTAATTATCATCGTTTCAAACATCTTATTTAACTCTAAATATGTGCACAAATATAAACACTAATAGTTATATCAAATTATTTATTTTAAAAATACATTAATATAAATGATAATATAATCCACAAATAGAAACATACAATTAATTCAAATCAAATGGTGTGAATCAAACCGTTTGG